CACCCCAACAGGCGGAGCTGTATGAAAGGGGCCGGGCGTTAGGCAGGTTGGGAAGCCGTGGCCTAGAGGGTAGGATGGTTTAGACGTCTTCTTTTGGACCTCCCCTGACCTCCTCTGCTTCCTGTCAGGTGGCTCGCTTGAGGGTGAGCGCGCAGGACAAGGTAGTCAGACTGCATTAGAGCAGTGTCTTTCGCTCTGAGGATTTACCCTGTCGTCCCTTGTTCTAAGGAGCCCTGTGCTAACCACAGAGTCAGCAGTTCAGATCCACCAGCCTCAGCCTGTGCTGTAAAGAGCTGAATCTCAGAAACCCCGTGGAGCAGTTCCACCCTGTCCTGTGGGGTCACTATGGCTAGGAATCAACTTGATGTATTTTTTTTCTGTTAAACAACGTGTATATTTGTGGTAACCATGTGGTAAGAGGATTTGGTTAAATCCCAGTTTCCATGAAGCAGCCCCTTCCCTGCGGCTGTTCTTGGTGAGGGGACGACGGCTTCCCGTCTGGCGGGCAGCATGTCTTGTAATGTCCTCCTTTGTCCAGAAGTGCTTCTGGGAAGATGATTTTTCATTTTCTCAAAGGGCGCGAACAAAAAAAGCCTCATATATACATACTGTAGATAAAACCAAGTCTAACTTCCGAGCACTTAGTTGAGTGATCTCAACTGATAGCAACCCAAGATAGGGCTTATGAGACTGTAAATCTTTCTTGGGGAATACAGCCTCATCTTTCTTCCGAGGAGCAGCTGGTGGATTTGAACACTGACCTTGAGGGTAGTAGTCCAATATGATCACATAATCATCAAACACTCGCAGGTCTATAATTCTTCAACATTCAGTGTCTTCAGTGCCCACTGTACTAGAGGACGGATTCCTGGTAGAGAATTGGGCATTAGCATAGTTGACAACACAGGATCAAGCCCGGTTTTCATGTCCATTTTTTATCCATCCACTCATTCCTGCTGTCCTTGAATGATAGTTGTTTCTGTTATAGAAATAGAGATTTTAAAATATATTATCTATTCTGAATAATCAAAGTGTTGGTATGCTTTTAATGTATGGTTTATTATTGACTCTTGGGGAAAATTATCTTTGCAGGTAGAACCGAGGATGCTTTGGACCCAGATGAAGAGCGGCGAGTTCAAATCAGGAGGCAGGAGCAAGCTGTGCGTTCGGCCCGGGTGCTCTACGTCCTCCAGCAGCAGGTGGGAGCCCAGCAGGGGAGGACAGCCCACTGGGTGGCCTGCATGGCTCGGGCTCACAAATATTAGCACCAGCATATCCTTCATAGCTCCTCCGAGCTAGACATGAATTTGTTCTCTGAGAAAGATGTAGTCTCCGAAACGCACAGGCAGTTCTGCACTGTTCTGTAGGATCGCTGTGCGTTGGAATCAACTCAGTGGCCGTGAGCTTGATTTGCTTTTTGGTACCCTTCATGGATGCGTTTG